ATCCCCACCCGCTACGTGAGCGTTTAAGGGTGTTTTAGGTTTGTTTTTATAAGAAGAAAATACGTTAGAAATAAAGCACAGATTTCCCCCCTCTGCACCACGTGGGCGTTCGGGGGTACTTATATAAAAATAAAAAATAAAAACACTTTTTTTATCCCCTTCGCCGCAAGCGTCGCACCGGTTTCCCACCCTACAACGCAACTTGAGCGCCTCGGGGGTTTGCTGGCTCGTTGCTAGCATTGAAGAGGGATCCTTAAATCGTCGCAAGCATCGCACCGGTTTCCCACCCTCAACGCTATGTGAGCGCCTTAGGGGTTTGCCGGCCCGTTGCAAGCATCGATAAAAGAATCTCTTTTTTTTTTAAGTCTTTTTCTTTTCTTTCCCCCTTTTTTTTTTTTTTTTTCTTGCATTTCTTTTTTTTTTTTTTTTTAAACTCCCCACATCACATCTCTTTATTAGATACATATGTACATATAACAGTTACAACATTTAACAACATTAAAATAAAAAAGATAACCAAACTAATTAGTAACAAATACTATTAATAAAAAGAAAACTTAGATTTGATTTTCTGTAAAAAAAAAAAAGTTGGCTATCGGGCTGAGGGCTGTTTTGATAACTTGCTGAAATGATTTCAGCAAGATACACTAGGAAATAGAGATGTTGTGGGGTTCTGTTGTAAGGACTGCTTTTTGGGCTGAAAAATTCAGTAACTAGGTTCTATTTTGGACTGAGAAAATTAGAAAATGAGATCTGTTTTGGGCTTTTTTGGGATACCAGAATGATGTTTGGGCGAAGAAACCAAGTGCTTTAGGCTGGAACCTGAAGACAGAATATGACTGTTTCGACACAACCTACAGCAGATGGCAGGCTCCACGTGGAGAAAAAAATTGAATGGAGTTCGGCTGAAGCATATTTTCCAAATTCAAGAAAACAAATGAACCTCATAAAACATTTTTTGTATGAATGCAGAAGTAAATGCTACTTTATCTGAAATGATGATGCAAGCATATGAGGAATTATATAGAATTGATACCATCCGGACATGATTACATCATGCAAATACCAAAATAATTTTTTGGGGAAAATTTGGGCTTCGCCCGTATATTGAATCAAAAGCGGGTTATAGCAGTAGATAAAGCAAAATAACAAAATTGGCTAAGAAAAATAAGCCAAGCTACAAAAGCATCAAAAAGTTGAAAACCTATGAAAATACACAAGTGTGATTTCCCAAAAAAGCTCCAACCGTATACCAAAAAATGCTCCCGTGCCCGATAAACCTGGACTCAGGAAAATATTAAAAAGAGTAAACAGATCAATCGCAACCCCGGTTGCCCAATAACGAAGGACCGTCCGAGGGGAAGCGTTGGGGAGCTACATCATTGTCCAGATTGGCACATCTGCAAGAAAACGGGGCAACATCGAAGCAGCAGCAGCAGACATAGCAAGATAAGAACAGCTTATAACAACAAGAACAGCTTATAATCTGTCTAAAAAATCCATCGGATTTTTCCAATTCATAATCTTCTCAGACAGCGCTCTTTTAATGCATAATAGTAGAGAAGTATGGCATTGCAACTTGTTCCCAAATATTCTATTGTTCCTCTCTTTCCATACATAATAGATCACAGATGAGACCGCCAATTTGTAGAAATTTAACGTCTCTGAATTTTCATTATACCGCCCAATTAACCACTCATAGACTTGGTGAATATTAGGCCGAAGCAGAAAATCATTCAATCCAGGTATGATGCTAGTCAGAATTGAGAATGAGGAGCATTCAAAATATAAATGAGAAACAGATTCATCATGGTTGTGACATAGACAGCATAAGCTTGGAACCAAGATATTCCTGAGACGAAGAGCCTCTGCAGTTTTGAGGCCCCCCCTGATGGCAAGCCAAGCGTACACAGAGTATTTAAGAGCGTTTCTTTTGTGCCAAATCATTTTATGCCAGCTACAACCAGGGATGTCATAGTGAAATTCCTTCATAAAATTTTTAAAAAGCCCTTTCTCCTTATCATACCATAGTAAACATGGACCATCACCAGCAGAGACATTAATACCCGCAAGCACTTCCCTCAAACCAGGGGTGAAATCATCAGGAAAATCCCATCCAGAATCAGATAAATATTGTTAAGAAAGATATCAGGAATTTGGTGCAAAATATTACTACTAAATACATCAGAAATTCTGCAGTTATCATACCAATGATCCCATTTCAAGGATATAGGAGCATCCTTAGAAATTCTAAATTTAAAGCAGTGTTTGGCCATGCTTGCCGAATGGCATATAGATTTCCAAATGTTTGATGCTGCAGTAATAGATGGGTTCCATGGCGATCTATATTTATTCAACAGCCAAGCAGATAATGGAGAGGAGCAATTATACATCCGTAAAATCACAGAAAAAATATAAGAAAATTGCATGGCAGGAATAGAATAAATACCCAATCCCCCTTTAGAGAAAGGCAAACATACTTTATTCCAGGCTATCATGTGCAATTTTTTGTTTGAGTTTACTTCCCCAAAAAATAAAAACCTGGAACTAGTTTTCTTGAAAAATTTGTGCACAGATTTAGGCAAAATGGCACCCCGGATCCAGTAAGCAATAGTATTTTGAATAGTAAATTTCATGTATTGTAGCCTACCGGCAAGGGAGAGAAGATTAGCTTTCCACCCACTAAACTTCTTATTCAAGCTGTCCATTAAAGGCATATAGTCTTCAATCTTGAGTCTATGAAAAGATAGCGGAATACCCAGATAAGTAATTTTGCTAGTTATGTTATGAATGGAAAGAGCCTGGCATATAGCTTGTTGATTGTTGAAATGCTTTGGGAACATAATAGCGCACTTATCATAGTTAACATGGAGCCCAGATCCAGTAGCAAAATCATTAAGGATGGAGACCAGCAGATTACAATTCTCAAGGGTTGCTTCTCCAAAAATGAGGACATCATCGGCGTAAAGTAAATTAGAGATGGAGAAATCATTAGAAAAAATACCCTTGAAACCCCTTTCCTCAAGGAGATTGGATAAGACATCCATCACCAAGCAAAATAGATAAGGACTAATGGGGCAACCCTGTCTAAGACCAGCAGCAGATGGGAAGTAACCCTCAAGAGCACCTGAGAGAAGTACAGAGAAATTAACATCACAAATGCAAGCTTTGACCCAACTCACAAAATGACTAGGGAAATCTTTCTGAATGAGCCTAGCAATTAAGAATTCCCTAGACACGGAATCAAAAGCTTTCTTAATGTCTAATTTAGCACAAAATATGTTTCCTTTACCTCTCTTCCCCGAGTGATACAGAATATCAGAGGCTAGCAATATATTGTCCGTGGATACTCTCGATTTAAGGAACCCAGCTTGATTATCCTTTACAATGAAATTCATGACCGGTTTTAGTCTAACAGTAATAACTTTAGCAATAATTTTATATACCACATTACACAGAGCAATGGGTCTATAATCAGAGATATTGACAGCATTAGAGTGTTTTGGAATGATAGCAATAGCTGTAGCTTTAACACCATTAGGCATATAACTCTTAGTGAAAAAAGATTTAATAGCTCTACAAACCACCGGCCCAATGATATGCCAACTAGTCTTAAAGAAATAGAAGTTGAACCCGTCTGGCCCAGGAGCGGAATTAGAGGAACCCATGAAAACCGCAGCTTTGATTTCCTCATCCAGAACAGGGGAGCAAAGAGTCATACGGTAATGTTCCGGCACAGAGACACCAACAGGAAAAGCCTCAACATCCAAAGAGTGAGAATGAGGAGGATTATATAATTCTTGATAATACTGAATGACAGAAGATATAACATCAGTTCTAGAGGTAGAAGGGTTGCAAGAGAGAAGATTTATAACCGATTTTTTGCTACCCATACGGCTCTTGATTTTAGCATATAAAAATTTCAGATCATCTTCCCCAAATTTGAGCCATTTAACCTTAGCTCTCTGAATAATCCAAGAAGCATGCAGTGAGTTGAATTTAGCTAGCTCAGAGTTGCAATTTTTGTAGGCCATGTTTGTGTCAGCATTACAGTGATCTAGTTGCATTTGTTCCAGCAATGTACTTTGTTTATTGTGTAAATAAGCAAGGTGTCTTGTACCACTATTAGAAGATGCCCAATATTCCTTTTTGATACCACTCTTCAACATCCTAAGAGAGTGACAGAGATGAGAGAGGGGGTTCCCTGAACAAGGCCTAGAGAATACCTCCAATAATATTGACCAGTAAGAATCAATCTTAGTCCAATAATTTTTGAATAGAAATCGGTGAAAAACCTGCGTAGCATTCCCAGGATGTAAGATAACAGGGCAGTGGTCCGAACAGGAAGGGCTTTGAATGGAGCAGAAAGAATCAGAGAAGACATTCCCCCAAACAACATTCACAAGAACTCTATCCAACTTAATGTGAATAGGATTGTCTAACTGTTGATTATACCAAGTGAATTTTCCCCCAACAGAGTTAAGGTCCAGCAGCCCATTATGGAAAATGAAATCATTAAAGTCTTTCATGGCAGAAAGAGTGAGAGGGGATCCACCAAGCTTTTCTGTTGCAAATCTGCAACAATTGAAATCACCAATAATGACCCAAGGAAAATTGCTCTCTGGAGCAGCCAGAGAGAGAGAGAGTTCCACAGAGTCTTGCGTTCAGTCATACTGTTAGAGGCATACACAACAGAAAGCTGAAAGAGAGGATGATTAGAGACAGAAACCAAACCAGAGATAAGTTGAGAATTAATGACTGAAGGGATAAAAGACAATTTAGAAGAATTCCACTTCACCCAAATCCTCCCCGAGGCAGAATGGGAGAAATTATTGCAGCTGGACTCATTAGAAAATAGAGAATGAGTGCTTTCAAAGAACGGGTCCGCAAGAGATTGTTGATGAATCCTGTTTTCCAATATACAAACTAAGTCAAGTTTGAATGACTCAATGAGACGCTTACAACAAAGCACTTTATCAGGGCGATTAAATCCCCTAATATTCCACGCAGCTATAGGTGGAAAAGACATCAGGAATTCTGCTTGGATGGGACCTTTTTACCCTGCTTGCCCTTAGTAGGTTTTTTGGATGTAGTAGTGATTTTAGACAGAATAGTTTTTTCAATAGCTTTTTGTTTCTTCTCCTTTTCCTCCAAATCAAAATTCGGTTCCTCAATAATAGTGTCATCACTAGAATTGACAGTTTGATCCTTGACATCTCCCTCCAGGTTTAAAATGTCAAACTTATTAGGAGATACAAAATCCTTCTCTATGGACGTAGATTGAGTTTGAAGGTTAGTGGATGAAGAGGAAGCAGCAGCATTGGGAGAATTTAAATTTGGAATACCCAAATTAAAGGAGACCCCAGTATCTGGAATGTCTTTCCTGAGAGTGTTCTCAACAGACGAGGCAAGCATTTTGTTGGGGGAAGGGGGAGGAGAATGCGGCTGGTATAGGAGAGGTAGTCCATTAACAGTAGACGGGATGGTGGGAATTAGGGGTGTAAACGAGTCGAGTCGAGTCGAGTTTTAGCATTATCGAGCTCAGCTCGTTACTTGGAAAACGAGCTCGAACTCGAGCTCGAGCTCGAGTCGAGCTCAGAAAACGAGCTCGAGCTCGAGCTCGTTAAACTATAAACGAGCTCGAGCCGGCTCGCGAGCCGCTCGATTTCTCATCCATCAGATTTTTTAATTTTTCGGCCACCTTTTTTTCCCGCCTATGAATGGCGCCCTGCCATGTTTTTTTTTTATTTTTTTTTTGAAAAGGCTGTCATATTAAAAAGCTGTCATAATGAAAAGTTGCAAAGGACACTTTGCATTTAATAAAAATCAGCTTTCACTTGAAACGATGCAATGAATTTATATAAATTAACATTAAAAGCAACATTTAACATTAAAAGCAAAGTTTGAATCTCATATTATATGCCGGCTGTCATATATTTTTTAAAATACCCTAAATATTATTGTTTCGAGCCGGCTCGCGAGCTCACGAGTCGAGCCACGTCAAGCTCGAACTCGAGCTCGATTGATAAACGAGCTCGATTTTGAGCTCGAGCTCGAGCTCGGGGCTCGATAAGCTCGGCTCGCGAGCTCGTTAACGAGTCGAGCTCGAGCCAGCTCGCGAGCCGGCTCGGCTCACTTACACCCCTAGTGGGAATAGTTTTAACAGGAGGGTTGGAAGCAGGATCCTGAGCAGAAGAACCGGGCAACTTCTCAACATAGTGAGTTTTGGATGGAGCCCAAAAATAAGGCCTTATACTAGCACTCCTACCCCTGAAATTAAAACTTTCCTTTCCATCTTCCTTCCCTGGTTCTTTTGCAGCAATCACAAGATTTTTCGGATAGGAATTAGAAAGATGCATTAAAGACTTACAGTGTTGACAAGGAAAAGGGTGCCATTCGTATTGCACTCTCAAGCTTACCACTTCGCCATCCAGCGATACCTGAATAACCTCTGGATACGAAGCATGGCAATCAACCAACACACAGATCCGAGCATAAGTTAAACGGGTTTTCTGCTCCGTCAAGCTATCCGCGGCAATCGGGACTCCTATTTTGCTGGCAATCCTAGATATCCGCTCAGAATTCCAACATGCAAGAGGTAGATCGTGTATCTTGACCCAAATCGGAACGGTAGCAAAGTCTTCTTTCTTCGGTATGAATTTAGGATGCCATTTTTGGAGAACAAACGGTTTCCCCAAGATGAACCAAGCTCCTCTCGACCAAACCGATTCAAAATCATCTGAGCAGGAGAAACGGAAGAGAAAAAATTCGTCATTAAGGGACAGAAGCTGAACAGAACCTTTGAGATTCCAAGTCTTTTTGACTGCCGCTAACAAGGCTTCATAGTAAGGGCGCCTCCCAATGGAGTAACCCACCAGACAAAGCTTCCAGTTTTCACCTCCAGAGGCCAGCTTATCCCCAAAAAAGGGATAATATCCGGTTCAGAAGGGAAATGGGAAAACTTGAGGGGATTTGAAGAAGTTTTTACCGGCTCAAACACTTTATTCCAACTCTTAGTAATCGAGCAGGCCTGACCACCAGGAGAAACAAGCGGAGGAAAATCTGAGTCAGTAGGACAGGGACTTTGTTACTAAAATAATTTGAGTTCATAGTAGCAGAGATAGAGAGAGGGACAGAAAAAGAGAGGCATCTTCCCCTACCCTCTTAAAAAAAAAAATAAATAAATGAAGTGCTACTGTAGTTCTTTGTTCGAGCAAGAAACTGACGCAAGGGCTCGACGGACAGGGACTTTGTTAGAGTCTTCACCTGAGAGGGTCCAACAAACAAGATCTCTGCTGCAGATTTTTTTTTTGATGTGAGGAAGAGGTTTGAAGGTGGAAAAGAGGTAGAGGTTGCAAGGGAGTGGAGGAGGGAGATTGAGGGGATACGGATAATAGAGGTCACGAACTGGATTTCGTATGGATAGGTGGAGCTGAAGGTGGTGTGAGATAAGGAAGTGGAGAAGAAAAATTAGGAGGTCTGGCCAATAATAGAGACCGACAGTTGGGGTTCTTGTGGACGGAGGCTTGCAAAGAAGAGCAAGGAGGACCGTGGCTTGAGATGCTGGAGCCGAATGGTTGAAGGGGGATTTGTGAGCAGGATATTCAAGGTAGAAGTGAATCTCTTGAAAGCTTCGTGTGTGTGAACCAGGAGAGCCAAGCAGTGCTCACTAGCTTCATTTTTATTTTTTAACGACAAGGCAAAGGTCGGAGGCTTGCTGTAATTCGAGACGACATAATAACAAAAAAAAGGAAGGTTTCGACTGTGACGTGGATTGATAGAATGAGGAGCTTAACAAAAGAGGCAAATATTATTAATGAGCATTTAATGGCCTGAATTTATTTCTCTCTTTGGCTTCTACTATTTTAATAAAATTTTATAAGCAAACAACCAAATTAGTGATAGGTCACTATGCATTAATTCAAAATGCCAGCAGTCCTTTAATCAGTCCAAAATTGCCTCGATCCGCGTGTGGTCTTCTCGATTTATGTGTCGATTTCTCCGAATGTTGAAATTACATAAATTGATAGTACATTTAGGGTATTACCGACGTTCCGGTCGCAACGACGAAGTCCGTTTTGAGATCGGACATCGTTTGGGCGACGACAAGGGTAATATTTACATGGGGTTGCCTCGATTTGCATGCACCACCTCAATTGAATGAATTGATAGTGTATTTAGGGTATTTTCGGTGTTCCAGACGCAACGACCCAGTCCGTTCGTCAATCCGACATCGTTTTAGCAGCCTCGCGCTTTAATTTTGGGTGTCGGTCATCCCTTTTGACAGATCTCGTTCGATTCAATTGCGAGGGACCTCGACCTAGCATAATTCGATGTCCTGATCGCAACGACACCATCCATTTGGCAATCAGAGGTCGTTTGATCCTTCAAATGACACGTGGCGCCAAGGCACGTATCACTTTACTCACCAGCTTGATCCTTTCGCACGTGGTTTGAGGTATAGGGGTCAACATTGGGCATGAGCAAAAATCTTTTCTCACACTCAATACAAAGTATTATTTACAGAACCATCACATAAACCACATAATAATTACTAATTAGGAAACAAATGAACATTATTATTTATATAAAGTTTTACATATGTTATTTATAGTATTCATGGTATTAATTATTATAATTAATATTATTAACCTAAAATTAAATTTAATGTAATTGTTACTCTGAGGAAATGATATCCATCATCATCCTCATGTACTCATATATCAGCTGACTAGTTGTTGCCTTATTTATAAATTCCTCGCTGAAGCATTCGGGCATGTTTGAGAACTTCATCTTCCTTAAAGATGAAAATAGTTATATTGTAGTTGCCTATACGACAAGTTTCTCTGTTGAAAAACTAAGTTCAATAAAACATGCATTGCCTCATAATATACATTAAAAAGCAATTATTATATAAGTTAAATCTTACTCTTAGGCTTCTTCTTCTTTTGCGAGTAGCCCTTCAGCCTTGCATTCAAGATACATTTAGGTCTACACTTTAGTGGATCTTTCAATTTTATAATGGTGCGTTGTGTCTTGCCTATAACTTATGGTTATTTCTCTTATCGTTAAGGATTAATTCTCCATCTTTAGTCATGTTCTTCATTGCAACTATCATATATTGTTCTGTCTCCTCATTCATTTGTGCTTGTGCATTAATTTGATATGCAAATTTGCTGATATGAGTTTTAAATATTAAGCCATTACCTGCCTCAAATGTCTTTTCTGAGCCAACATATATACCTTTCATGTCTCTTGCAGACCATCGCAGTAGTAAGTACTTTTCACGTATACTCATAATATCTAGTTGCCTCAAAACTCTCATGCAATAAGAACATAATAAACCTGTCATCTCAAACTTCACATAGGTGCACTGAATGCTACTCTCTTTTGTATCAAAATGAACAACCTAAAGGATCGATTGGTGCTTATTCTCAATGCTCTTGATAAAAAAACTTTGAAGAATCATATGAGGTATACTTTATACTCATTCCATTCATGTCCCATAAAAATTCTTCTTAAAAAAATGACAAAAACTTTCTTGAGTAAAATCGAGTAGCTTATTTTAGTATTGTGTTACTTTTATTATATGTACTACTGCAGACAGATTGTAATTGTGATGAACATCCATTTCATTCGGGCACCATATGATCATCACCTACTCTAGGCCCAAAAATAATCAGTTACAAAACTTATGGGATTCGAATGTCATAACACACATTACTAGTAGACTAATTATGCTATGTGGATATAATGATCATGCTAGAATAATCTTTATTAGAAGTTGTTGACCACTTATTTATTATCTTATAAAGCTCCTCAAACTAACCATTATTATGGTGGCTCTCTTCTGTGATCATTTCAGCTCATATTTTTTCGAACTCGTACTTAAAATCACATTTGCTCAAACACTTATGATCACATACTTTGTTATTGTTATTGAAGCACTAAATTTTTTATGAAACCTTTTTAGAAATGTGCCACTAGCACAGTATATGGTGCATGAGGTAATGCAACTTCTATTGCCCTAGTTATTGCCTGATGATGATGAGTAAATATTTTTATTGAATATTTATCACCTATTATTTATATAAATATTCTAAATAACCACATAAATAATTCAATCATTTCCTTTGATAGAAAAGTCACCCTAAAGAGAATATTTTGGCAATGATTATAAACTTTCATAAATGGTGCACATACTAAATTATATTTATTAAATATATGGCTAGTATAAAAATTATCACATCTCTAAAACAATCATAATTTATCCAACCCATCCCATCAACCCAAATAAAATTCAACAATTTATCAAATTTATCAATTTAGACATCCAATGCAAACATATTATCATCAACTTACGGATCTTTAAATAATTGAATTAAAAAATTAGTGTTCTCATATCCAATATTTATTTTTTTCTCTTTTAATATAGTTGTTTGCATCACTCTTAGAGAATCCAATAATCTTGATACCTTCAACTTCATCTATAAGGTAGGAAAATGCATCAACAGTTCTTATCACGACTTCTATCATTAATTTAAGAACTGATGCTTTCTAATCACCAATGTTTATATATGATCTAAGTAGATGTCGGTCTTCTAGCCTAGCCAATTCATGATTGTGGCTTTCAATAAATTTGTGTATCTTTCAATATTCATCTTCATCAATTGTAAACCTAATTATAGCTGGACAACCTGTTCGAGTCTCTAATTTTTTAAATTTTATTTGGCAATTCAAATCAAGTCCCTTCTTGAAACTAGATTTTGAACAAACAAAGTTCTTATATTTTATATTTTTAAAATTTGGCAAGTAACTATGATGATCCTTACAAACTCTAAAACTAATATTATGGGTATACTTGTAGTACAACTGGTATGTTTCTTTCTCATCCTTATACACACCCTATATACAAGGGAAAAATGTTAAGAGGAAACACACCATATGGTGTGTATAAGAAAAATTGTATAAGCTTGTACACAATATGTACAAGGTTGTATACAAATTTATATAAGCTTTCTTTAAGTTAGTTGATTACACATCATAAGGTCATCCCCACTTGCAAGTAGTAACACAATAATCTTCACACATTATAGTTTTTTTTTTTTTTTTAAGATGTTATAGTATATGTCTTCCATTTTCCTTTATTATGGTTTCTAAAATAATTTTGAGAGGTGTTTTAATCCCCACATTATTTTAGGCTTCACCATGAATGTTTGGATGAAGGAACATGAT